ATTACAATTTATTTTTTATATTTCTTTTCATTTTATTTGTTTTATTTAAATTTGAGGGTATAATGGTCATTTTACACTGAAAAATAGTGAAAAGGATGTTTCCCACACTGAATCGTTGAAATAGGAGCAAAAATGCAAAAAAATGAAACGTTGGGACGTTTTGCACACTAACTATCAAACGTAGGGACGTTTTGTGCTAATAAGCCTTTCAGCCTATATTGATAGCTTTTATTAGTTTGGTGTACCTAATCCACTACATATACTACTCTTGGAAAAGCAGTTAATGAAGACTGCGCTTGACTAGTCTTCGAGATCAAATGTATCAGCAAAAAGAAATGGAAAAATTCAAAAAGAGAAATCTACAGAGACTGCAAGAGAAGATATTTTGAATGACAATTGGCAGAGACTGCAGAGTCAATGGCTCTCTTGGCAAAAGGAAATGGTATGGTGTCTGAAGGTGACTTGACGTGTACGCGCGTGAGGAATGTTTGGACAATTTGTCTGAGACTCTGAGAGTTAACTACATACGCGCTTTGTTTTTTAAAGTTCCCAGTAGTAAATATTTCCGTGGAGGTTCCCAACCTTTGCCAAATGTTCGAAATCATTCCCAGTCTTTTCAATTCTTGTTATTTAAGTCCTCTGCCTTTTCAAATTGTTGGCGGAAACCGTCCAAATGACCATTAAAATTGACTTGTGCGACTGATTTTTGAAGGACTTTAGTCGTTCCTCCACTAATGAGTACCTTTTCCCTTCATGTAATTATAAGAATCCTTGCATTATATATGAAGCTGAAGATTTAATATCAGGATATCCTTTCTTCGAACAAGTTACTCAACCTTGTACTTTTGAAGTGAAAAGCACGTCCCAATAGACTCGTAATTATGAGCTCCCTAATGGTATGCAAACCCAAAAAATATTGCAATCCAACTAGGAGCTTGTTTGATGCCCATTTTGTGTTCAATTTTTAGCCAGATTATAGACGTTACATAGTGTTAGTGTAAGGAGGGGCGAGAACTTTTTGACTAAATGACGAAAAATTATCATTTATTCCTACACAAAGAAAAAAAAATTATTCTTATGTAAATAATGACAATTCGATAACTCAAACATTTGGATGGAGGAAACCATCCAAATGGTTGTTAAATTGATGAATGCGAGCACATAACTTAGCCCCTGTTTGATAACCATTATCCAAAAATTCTTTTTCTAAATACTCATTTTTAACCACACATTCACACAATAAAATATTTTGTGCATAAACCTAAAACTTTTTCTTACTTTTTAATCACACATTCTCCAAAAATTTACTATTCAAAACTTGAAGTAGTTTCAACGGTATTCATTTCTATTAAGTAAACAAAATTTAAACACAAATAAAATTTTTAAGAACGGAATAGCATGAATGTCTATTCAAAAGATGAAGAGAACGGGGTATGATCCAATAAACAACGAACACAAAAAATTATCTTAATATTGTTGGGGATATAGCAAAGTTTGTTTTGAAAGTGGATAACTAAAGGCTAAGTTAACAACACAAAAATAAAGTTAAACAAAGTATAAACAGTAGAAATGAAGAAAACGAAAGGGATGAAATGATCCGAGGCAAGTGAAACACTATTTCCTTAAGACAAATTTGCCCTACAATTGTGTCAACGGAGTACCCGCAATTGTCTCACAAGATACAACGGATTACGTCCTTATAGTAGATGTACTTCAAACTATAAGGCGACAACGAACTTGAATGAATTATTCTCTCTACAAGAAAATATTTTTAGAATGATTTTTGGAGAGTTTTTGAAAGATTTGATATAATGCTCAATGTAAAAGATATGTGATGCATAATGAACGTCTAAACGATCATATTTTTAAAAGATAAGAGGTTGTGAGTGAAGTGGCACACCCCAAACTTAGCAACTTTCACAAAGGGAAGCATCTCTTGCTGTCATTAGCCCATCGTTGGCCTCTTGTTCGAGTAACAGTGACACCTATTCATCAGAAACTCCGTAGCACGCCTATCGCTCGAGCGCAAGGCAATCAATTAAGTTAGACAAATTTCCCGACCAATTTTTCCTCTTTTCTTTTCAACTTTGGACTCAATTTCTTATTCATCCGGAACTGATTTGAGAGTTCAAATATACTACAATGATCTATTCGACGAGTAGAATAAGTTGTCTATTTATATTTATAATTTTACCATCGGATCAAATTCGAATATTTAGTCGAAATTGACTCCAAGTCACTTTTTCAAGTTTTATAGTTGACTAAATTTTCCAATTTTAAACCAAATTCCAACAAAAGGTGTTAGATTTTGATCGTGATTTCAAATGTGGGCCTTTAAAGACAAGTCATGCACAATACTTCCATAACTCCCGTCACTGGACCCCACATGATACGATATGACTCATCATCATAAACAAACCTGAAAGTCGGAACTTCAAATATCATTCTTACGTTAACCAATCATTACAAAAGAGAATGTTGAAAATATAAATCGTGAGTCGCCTATGTGAGGTTATCTGACCCACAAGATGTTAACTTCCTTCAACCCCTATCAACTTCCATAACTCCCGTCACTTGTTTAGTAAGAGAGAAAGATGGCAAAGTTAGAAGATAAATTCGTACAGAAATTCACTCAAAATAGAAATGTGCCTAGAACTATATCTTTTGCATGAAAACTTAAAAAATTAGGCACTTAGGTTGTGGATCATAATTCCCTTATATTGTGATCCGGATTGAAGTAAGGTAAGTCAACCATACAAAAAGATTTTGGAATTCTTTCAAGTAAGAATCTTGACTCGAAATTTATGTTAAAGCCCTCGTTTGGCCCCCATTTTTTTCCACTACATTACATTAATTTTTTTCTTTTTTCATTTCAACTACACATTCATCAAATAAAATAATATTACATACAAATCAAAAAAATTTCATTACTTTTCTACCACACATTTTCCCATCAATCACTATTCCGAAAATTTTATCAAAAAAATTTCATTACTTTTCTACCACACATTTTCCCATCAATCACTATTCCAAAAATTTTCAACACCCCAAAATGAGGGCCAAACAGGGGCAAAGAATGCTGTAAAATCTTTCATTTGTATTAAGGATGTGTTTGACATCCATTTTGGGGAAAAATAAATTCTGGAATAGTGATTGATGGAAGAATGTGTGGTTGAAAAGTAATGAAAAATTTTATGTTTGTGTAATATTATTTTATTTGGAGAATGTGTGGTTGAAATGAAGAACAAAAAAAAAATGAAAATGAAAATGGGTGTCAAACATGGCCTAAATGTTATTTTTCTTGCATATTATCTTGTTGTAAATGGAGTTGAAGTGATGAAATCTTGTATGCATTTTATGATAAAGTTTGAAGCATCATTAATCGCATATCATGAAATATGCAACATAAATTCACGAATTTTTTTACAGATTGTTCCCTATATGATTTAGAACATATATGCAAATTTTCAAAATTCTTGGTTTTATGTTTTTGGTGGAAAATGAAACACTAGTTAAAATTGCAGAAATTTTAAAACTTTACTGCGTTCTATTCGTTGATTCATGCAATAATATTGGTATGTTAGAAAGGTATTTCTATGATCTTTCCAACAATAAAATTTTAGACTTGAAACTAAGAAATTATGTGGTTTCGAAACTTAGACCGAATCTTAAAATTTAAGAAAAAAAAATGAAGAAGATGAAAAATAGATTTTTCCACCCCCACTCTTTGTGCATTGCGTTTCTGTTGCAAACATGGTGTTAAGAGTAGAATTTTAAAAATTCTAACCACATGGATGAACTCAAAACGTTAAAATTAGTAAAACGGATGAAAAAATAAAACGAAAAAGAGTGGAAAGTGCACGCGTCGCCATTCGCGAATGCCCACATAAAAAAGGATGTGCAGTTATCTAGGGCGTGAGGGCGCATGGAAGACTGTTTCTCAACTT